TATTATACATAACAATGTAAGAATCCTTCATTATTTCCAATTTAAGATTTTGCATTTGAGAACAAATTCTAATGTGTCATGTTATGTTGTTACAGATCCTCTACAATCTTCAATTCCCCCTATCTTCTAAGAATCTTATGATGCTTTAAAAGCTAAGAATGTAAGTACTTAACATATTTAGCGTACTGTATAGTTAAACAATTAATTATATAACTGATACAATTATTTATTAACGAATTTACAATATACGAATTTACAAATTTGTAAATTAAAAAACGTCATATCTAATTATATTGTTGATAAAAATATTATATTTCAATCAGTTCTTTCTAATATTTTTAAATAGATGTTAATAGTCAAATATATACTAAATTGTTCATCCCAATTTTTCATCAATCTCTGTTTTAAATCATTATTCTAATCATTATTCTAATTCGTAATTCTCGAAACAAATCTGGCAACACTGTCCATATTTTTTGATTTTCGCGGTGCAAAATTTGCTGAATCGGTACGACAGGGTTTGACACGAAAATGGTAGCATCGGGCCTCTAAATCGTGGTTGAAAAAATACATTGGATGCTTGGTCTATTCATGTACCTCGTTTGTGGCAATGTCTATTCTTATACATCGTCTGTGATTTGATGTAGTTCCCTAACTCACCGTTCTCTAAATCATTGATTTAAACGTAGAGTGCGCTAAAAAGTCAATGATTTTTTTACTATGTCGGTATTTCGGATTATGGACTACAAAATCTCGTAAGATATTTAGTCTTCATAGACCTCGTCTGTGGCGCTGCGGTGCAGAACATGTCTAAATCGATATGATACGAAAATTCTGCAGTCTACATTTTCGACAGAAAAGTAGATCGCTGGAGAAGTACTTAATTTCGTCGCGAGATTGCGTGTCGAGTGTATTGAAAGTTTCGAAGGTAAAAAAAGTAACTACATACATGAACTGCATAGAGTTTCATAGTAATTAGTCACAAGCAATAATTATATTAAACGACAAACACTGTAATCATTTTTCAATATTTATCAATTTTTATTCAAATTCTATCAAATTG